TAACTGTACCCCACAAAACTATAATAAAAATACTGATTAATTATTAAAAAAATTAAAAATTAAAAATTAAAAAAAAATAAACTCTAATTCTATCCAGGTTGCGGCAAAATTCATGATTTTGTTCTTTTTTATGGCTGCGTAATATTCCATTGTGTATATGTACCACATTTTTTTAATACAGTTCTTTTTTGATGGACAGCATGGTTGGTTCCATGATCTTGCTAAAATCAAAGACATTTTAGATGCAAAAAAGAAATATTCAGAACTTTTTTTAAATATGCAATCAGTGTTTAATAAATTTGTTAGGAAATAAAGAAACAAGTTTGGTCTGCCTGTATTTTAGAATTAGAATCAGAATTTTGTGTACCTTAATCACATAAACTTCCCAAGCCTCAATTTCACCTTCATTACCATTACTATCCTCCCAGTATCATTAATCTACATTATCTCATTTACAAGATTAAGATAATAAATTGTAATCACTCTGTCAGGCGGCGGTGGTCAGAATCCAGGTTCCACAATTCACTAGATGTGGGGTTTGAAACAATGTATCTATTTCTCAACTCCAGTTTTCTCATTGGCAAAATGGGGATCATAATAGTACCTATCTCAGAGGGTTACCATAGGAGTCAAACAAAATAATGACAAGGTTTGGCACATGATAAGTTCTCAGTTAATAATAATTATTATTTATAATTATAATAGTTATGACCAAACAAAGCGATGTATGTGAAAATGCTTTCTAATTTATCAGAAGATAAAAATGCTTGTTTATTCTTTTCTATTTTCAAGAATCAAAAAGGGATTGACTTTCGACAAAAGAAGAAGCATCTACTCTTTTGAACAGAGATATGAGAATTTGCATCTAGGAACAGAAATGTCTTTAAAGAAGAAAGGAAGATGAGGAGGACCATGACAGAGGAAATTTTACTTTTCATTACTAAAATGTAGATGAGTTATCTGCTTATAAAAATGGCTTTTAGAAGGGATCGAAAATTTTAAAACTATAGAGAAGGTTAAATAACAGCTAACTTAAATTTTAATTTGTTTTAGAGTTGTGGGGTACATGGAGGACTTACCACATAAGTTGCATGCAGGTGAAGTTTGGGCTTCTAACTGTCCCTGTCTCCCCAAAAAGTGGACCAGATACCCAGTGTGTTGCCACATGCCCCACCCTTCTCTGGCCCTCACTCCCCTAGCAGTGACCAGCATCTGCCAATCCCACCCTTGTGCTCAGATTTTGCATTTAATTTAAATTTTACCATAATAGTCATGTAAATATTCAGTAACCTGTTTCTCTTCTATATAATATAGTTACTCAAATTCTCAAAATGTGATGTAAATAACCATCTGTTCCTTCAAATCCTTCATTAGAAACTCCTAAATGAGGTTTACAACTTTGGGGTTTAGTTTTATTTTTCTAACCAAATCAAAATTACATACTTGTTAAACAACATGGATACAAAAGAAGCATGATAGCAGAAATCTGATTGGAGTGATACCATCTGTTTCTCTGCTGAAATCATCTAAGACAAAAGGACTGGGATCTGAGGGAAAGCAGAAACACCAGACGCAAATATTTAGAGACCGATAATATTAAATAGTCCATAAATTCAAAAAAATCAAAGGGAATCCTCGGTTGCCTTGTTATAATGGCATAGCTGACTCCCTCTTAAAGACTCCTCAACTGTGAGCTACTTTTCTCCTCCCACTGAGACCAAGAGTGATGGAAATAAGACATCACTGCCAAATTGGCAGATACCATGAAAGATCAAAAGGAGAGGCACGTTCAAAGTGAAAATAAAAACAGAAAATGGAGAATACCATAACCCAGGCTTTGTTTACAAGGTGATCTAGGAAAGTGCATGAAAATTCTGAAGAAGAGCCTTAGGGAAAATCCTTCTACATGGAAATTTAAGAGAATAGTTCTTGTGAAGAACCAACCAGTATCCAATAGAAAATGTCATTTGAATAAGAGTGACAGAAAAAAGACACTTGAACTAATTCAATGGAGAAAACAGCCTCTCCTAAATGTTCTTGAACTCCGCCTTGGTCCTCATCACTGACTTCTTTCTTTTGTGCCCTCATAGGCAGCAAACGTTAGAGATGAAAAAACCAGACCTTTCTGACAGAATTTACTCTGCTGGGACTAGCAGACATCCCAGAGATTCAAATTGTAATTTTCATACTTCTCTTCCTCACCTACATATTCAGCATCATTGGAAATCTGATGATCATCTCCCTTACACTACTGGATTCTCACCTCCAGACTCCCATGTATTTCTTCCTCCAGGACTTCTGCTTCCTAGAAATTTCCTTTACAACCACTTTTACTCCTAGGCTGCTATTCAGCATCTCAACTGGGAATAAAAGCATCAGCTTTTCTGGATGTTTCACTCAGTATTTCTTTGTTATATTTCTAGGGACCACGGAGTTTTACCTTCTGGCTGCCATGTCCTATGACCGCTACGTGGCCATCTGCAAACCCCTGCATTACACCACCATCATGAACAACAGGGTTTGTATCCAGCTGGTCCTCTGCTCTTGACTGGGTAGATTCTTAATCATCTTAACCCCGATCATCCTGACCAATCAGCTGGATTTCTGTGTCTCCAATGTGCTGAATCATTATTATTGTGACTATGGACCCTCATAGAAATATCTAGCCAGGCTCGGTGGCTCAGCCTGTAATCCCGCGCCTTTGGGAGGCTGAGGTGAGCGGATTGCCTGAGCCCGAGGATTCGAGACCCACCTGGGCAACTTGGCGAGACCTCCTCTCTACAATAAATCAAAAATCAGCCGGGCGTGGTAGCGCATGCCTATAATT